AAATTTTCTTTTTTTTAATATGTAGTTTATTTTTGATGCATAGTTGGCATCTAGATAAAGTTGCAACGAGAACTGCCGCGCTATCTTCTAGTGGGAGCAATAGTGCATCCGTTGCGACGTCCGTTATTTTCCGGCGTCCTCTTTTCTATTTGGCCAAGTTCTCTCTGCTCCTTTCCGCTGTCTTTTTGATAGTCATCATCTTCTCATAGAAATAGGTTTTCTATCTCTCGACAATACTCCGCTAATTACCGCCGGTGAGAAGTCATCCCCTATGGCAATGGTAGCGAATGTTTTTACGTGCGTGTGCCAATAATTCACAAATTCAATTTTATCGGCTTGCTGACGTGCCGGTTAGTATTTAATAGGCTGATTTATTTCTGATATCGCGAGTCTTACATCGGGGCTCGCTCGAAGGTTGTGATGAAAAGAATATCTTCGAGTCATACGTAGATGGCGGCTGTCTGTTTATCGGAAACGCACTTTTCGACAAGACGACTGAGCGGAAGTAAGTGTCGCTGTACTGGGTTTAGCGGAAGTAGATATCGCTAAACTAGTGTTACGTCCTGGGTTGGCGGGTTCGATGGTTTTCTCGTCGACCTATTGGTCTTGACATAATGATACAGGTCTTTTTAGTCCAACTACGCGCCTGGTTGTGGCTGGGATCCATGGCTTCCGTCTTGATTAGGAAGTTGACACTGTGTCGTGTTATTGAGATCATCTTCCAGGGCAGAAGGCTGGTCACTCGTTCTATAGTTCACTCGATGCCGAAAGGAAGACGGCTGGTGGTTGCCGGTTGACAAAGGCCCGAATCAGCTTCCGACACGATAGTTTTGTTCGCCCCGATGCGTTCGCAGCATTTATTGTGGTGCTCGAACACACGACTGGGAAACGTCGTGTAGGTAGCTCTGAATCGCTCCGTGCTGCATACCTCGTTGATCGTTACGACTGTGCGACTATGTCCACACCTCCGCCGTAGTCAAGTAACGGGAATCTAAGAGCAAGGATTATAAAATAAATATATAAAATAAATATGAGTCTATTTACTATGGTCTTAACTTATGACTAGTGACTCAAAATAAGGTACAACTAATGTAGTGATTAATCGCCAGTATCGAGAACTCTATGATTGCCGAGGTTTAATTACGATCGTCAGGTTTTTTATTCTGACTGTATGTGTGTCTATTTCTGTTTAGACGTGCTCTATTTATTCTATTGGTTCTGTGGTTTATATTGTTCGATTAGGATTACCGAGGATTACCTGTGCGAGCTGTGTAATAGAACCTGGTCGTGTCGCTTGTTACCCTGGCCACTTGCATCGCAGCTTGTAAAAACTAAAATTTTGGGTTTTCGCGTTGGAACGGCGGGGGCCTTTGGAGTGCTATTGAGTTGATTCTCGCGGGACACGTGCTTCTCTTTGCCGCTCACCTTTTTTATTTTCATCCAAGGCAGAGAGTTAAATGCGTTTACTATGTCGATAGACACAGCCAACACCATCCCGCCCTGGAATACCACAGCCTGTGCAAGAGACTTTACGCGATCTATCGATGGTCGATAGGACCCAGAATTCAAACTTAGTGTCCATTTCTTCTGGCGGACTCGGGCGACTCGTCTTTTTGCTTTGATGAATGATGATGAAAGAGATGAATCGTCTGATTCCATCTCTTTCTCTCTTCATCGCCGTAGGCGATTCGTCCTACCCTTGGCAACGCCAATCGCTTTTTTGACAGAGCAAGCCTGGGCAGCCACTTGCTCGCTATCGAGGACGTTCGATGCGATGGGATCCCGCTCAACCATCCCCTTCGTACCGGGCTACCGGTGGCTCCGGTTCTCCCTGAACCAGTAGGTATCTTCTCCTTGTTCTGTCTATCCAGTCGTTGGTCGCGTACTGAGTCTCGCACACAGTTTTCTCGCATATCGATGCAGTGGGGGCCAGCTCGATCGCCATCGATGTACCGGGCTTGAAGGTTCTGACACCTTCTGCACCAATAAATTTTTCCTCTTTCCTTTACTTCTTTATCATGGGTTGATATGATTTTCTCCTCCTTCTTCGCGACCATTCACTCTTTTGCACTTTGCTTCAAAAGGTCGTAGCTCCGTCCCAGGCAGGTGAGGTGAGTGGACCATTTGACCAGTACAGGTCCTCAACTTTGCCGCCTAAACTAGTAGGCTTTATGTAAATCATCAACTTCATCCAGGTTTTCAATCCTGTTCAGGAAACCCCGAGTTCGGAAGAACTAGGACCAATCACTGGATCTTGCACACAAGTGAAACGTCGAAGTCAATGATTTTGACAATACCAATTGCAAATGCATATCCTTATTTATCCTACGAAATATAAATTATATAAACACTATAATAGATTTTCGCTCCTTTTGAAACTTCATTTCCTAATCAATATATATATATATACGTTCGATTTTGATGAGGGGAAAAGAACAAATAAACACTTGATCTTCACCGGTGTTACCGGTCTTTTATCAGTTCGATTGTTAAGGACCGATCATATCACAGCTGTTTAATTGTCGCTCGTTGTCAGAGTAGTTGAGATAACGACGCTATGATAATGGTAATTATTCCCATCGACACGGCACTGGTCAGAAATCGACTGCGACAATATTAATTAGTGCTGGCGCATGCCTTTCTGCTCTTCGGCCTCTCTCTGATTTCTTGCGTGTCGAAGTCAGTGCAGGGTTTTTGGAGTCCGGATTGATTGATTTATTTGACACAAAGACCTATCACACATAGCTCCTATCACCATGGAATGAAAATACATTTAATGAATGCGACCCCCGCAACTTGATTGCGTCTTACGTATAGATAGGTCAGATTTCACTCGTCTTCACAGATGGAACTGGATCACATTCCAAAGCGCTATCATCTATTCTGGAACGGTTTAAACACTGCTGGTAAATCGGCTTCTTTTGGAGAATAACTTCTATGACTCTATCAGCATTTGGTTGCCAAATCAAACAAGTTCAACAACAACCAACCTGGATTGGGAGAGAATTCTCCAATTCCTGCAATACCGTCCAAGTCATTAGTGGAATCGCTTCTAGTCGAGTGCTGTGCAATTTCCGTCACTGATAATGATAACTCAATGGCGGCATTCACCAAGGTGCATGAGAGTAAGCTCGGTCCCTCAATCCTGAAATCCAGATCGATGAATCATCTAGCAGCCTGAAGTTTCTATGTATTACCTATTCTATTTATTATGTAGATGAATCGTCGTTTCATTACAATTCAATCGGTTTGGGATGAGAGACGTACTTGTTGCACGTTCAAGTGTTGAATTAATAGATTCGAATAATGAGTCTGTATATAAGATTACAATGTGATTAAGTGAATCTTGTACGCAATTCAATAAAAATCTAATCTATAACTTCGCTACGACTTGAAATTTAATTATTTATCTTTCAAATTACAGGTATTAATTTTTTACCATTTTGTGAATTAGACATTTGACAGATAAATGAACGGTGTGTTTAATAGAAAAACATATGTTGAATTATATATTCAAGTATATTGATTAATATGAAACCTAATTTTTTTTATTTTCAGCTATTTTACTAAAAGAAGAAATGGACACTTGACATTTGTCAAATAAATGAACGGTGTGTTTAATAGAAAAACATATATTGAATTATATATTCAAGTATATTTATTAATATAAAACCTATTTTTTTTTATTTTCAGCTATTCTACTAAAAGAAGAAATGGAAGAATTTAATAAATTCGCATGTTAAAGAGAACAAGAAAGAATAATAGAACTATACCTATAAGTGACATTGAAACTAAGGTTGCACAAATTATTTAATAAATTATTATCGTATTAAGCATTCACCGAGATTAAAGATAAGCAATATTGAAAATCAAAGAGTATTTGAAATCTCAGAGTTGACTATCGCAGTGGCAGAGTTATGTCAGTTATAACTTCCGAGACCGAGGACGGAATAGAAACTATCATCAAGCGTTGCGCAAACATTTCGTTTTTGTATTTTCTAACATTCTCCTATATTAACATTTTTACAATTAATAAATCTGACACATTTCTCTTATAAAATTTGTATAAAAAGTGTAAGACCACTTTTGTGGTCTAAGAGTAAATTATATGCAATCCAATAGAAACTTAATTCAATTACTATTAATAAAGGAATATTAATAAAAGAATTTGCAAATTTGAAACTATTTGTTTTTCCATTGCAGATATTAATTTTTTATTACTGTATCAATTTAACACGAGGGACAAATTAAGTTGGCAAAATTAAATATGTTATTTATGTTAATAATTATCTTATAGTGAGTGTGAAACGTTCGATATGTTCTTCATTTTTCTCATAATTGTATCATTGATAAATTGTATCACTTAATGAATAAACGTATGTATCTTTATTAATTTTAGTATATTTAAAAAATTTATCATCGTAAATTTTTTCAACGAATGACAATATATGAAACTGACTCTTATTTGCATCTTCTATCATTGAACACAAAAAAATTTCTATTTCGCCGCTGTTTTCGCTGTAATAACAAGAGCAACAGTGTTTTCTCTTCAAATTCCCCATTTTAAAAATTTGGGAATTAAAAAAAATAATTTTTTTTTTAATGATTATATAAAGCAATATGTTTCATGTTTGCTTAGTCACTTTTTATTTAACTTTTCATATCTAATTGTTTTAAATAAATATACAAAAATAATTTATCATACTTTTTGACATACTTCTTTGCAGAAAGCGTAATGCATTTTGAAATCAGGTTCTCGCATATCTCTAACAAACGTCATTGATATAAGGAAATCAAATGAAAACATTTAGGTCCCTTTGACGAGATCATTAGATGTATTATATCACTATTGGAATCCATGAAACACAAGCTTTCTATCAAATTATTATACTTTCTGTTCTTTGTCTAACAATTAAAGTGCCCACAGCTAAATAAAATTTCGTCAAAAAATATTTCAAATACTATTCGAGATAATCGTTGTTTCCATAATTCAAACACAATACTATTTTAAATAGAAAATAAAATTTTAGCAAATGAAAGATTCTTATTTCGATAATCTAAAGCATGAAATAAAATATTTTAAGTTTGTTTTAAATAGTATTGTAATATGTATTTGAAATATAGTATAGCTGATGAAAAAGATAGATTAAGAAAATTGCAGAAAAGAATAATATTGACAAAATAAGTTTATTTATTTTTTTAAATACTACTATATAGTATTTATATATAACAACGTGCATCGTTCAAAGTTTTCATCATGTAGGCTGCTCCTTTATAGGTACAGAATTAATCCAGCCAAACTAAAAAATCTTTATGATAATTCTGTATTTGTACTTTGCAATACATTGGATTCGAAAGTTATTATCACTTAAGTATTACAACAAATCTAATCCTGCAATATTACGAATTATTAACTATATCATCACTGTGTTTTTTCGTGAATGAAAAGTAATCATGTGCTTCTATTTCGCTTTACAAAAATAAAGAGGATTATGCTTATACACCTGGAGTTATTTTTTTTTTTTAAAGTTCTTAATATTAAAATTTGCTTAATTATGTCTATCTTCCGCTGAATTATGTATAAAAGCAAGTACCAGCGGATTAAGAAATAATTAATACTATTAGATTAATACTTCTTAATCATTCATTTCATTTTATTCCATTTTTATTTGTATTTCAAATTTAATATTAAAGATTGCGAAAATAAACGACTCCAGAAACGAAAGGTAGGATTAAATCATTATGAATACCATTAGGAATAGTTTTATTACTTCGAACATCAATTTCATCAAAATACAATACTGTAATTATGATTATAAAAAATAAAGTTATTCTAACTTAATTAATCTTATTTCAAAATGATTTCATCAATTAGATTTTTTGTTTTAAAATCAAATTAATAAAAATAACATATTTAAACAATATTATTGAACAATTTTCCATATCTGTTCAAGTACTTGTTTACTAGTAGAAGTAGGTACAACAAGTATAGATAAATATTCAAATGCAAAGCTCGAAAGTAATGGAAACAATTGGCAACCTTCTCTATCCCACCATGAAATAGGATTAGAATCAGTTTCAATTGGTTTCTCTTTTATGTATCTAAAAAAAAAAAAGAAGAAAAAGGAAAACAATAAATACGGATAAAACTATCATGGGATAAACGATAGTAACTAATTGAAGTATGTACCTCTGAAACTCATCTACTAGTGTAGTCTTAATGTTGTCTAATGTATTTGCATTAGACCGTTTTTTATTCTAGACCAAATTTATTGTTTTCAAATTCTCTGTTAATTGGCATAATATCTTTTCAATCCATTCATCGGGATTTATAACAAATTTAGTGGTTCTGAAACGAGGATCCAGCAACGTAGCAGTTGCATAAATACCAATATCTTTCCAATTGTTTAAAAAGTCACCGAGCTTAGCTCGCAACTTAGTACATAGCAGCAATGTTGCATCTCGCAATGAATTATAACGCGTTCCTAAATCAATGCATATTTTAAATAAGTTCGGTAACACTTCGGAAATCATGTGTATTTTGTTTTGAGCTTTATTCACGTCCCGTAAAACGTTAGTTGCTTCAAGAATAAGATCGATTTTCCGACTTGGTTCCAAAATCCTCAAAACCTCTCTGACACTTTGTGCAGATAGAGGTATAACATGTCTAAATATTTATTCATGCGTTCATCGATAGGGGTATGGTGGCTCGAATTCTCTTGATTTACTATGTCATATAGTAACTTTTTCATTGTTACGATACTCAAAAGAATCGTGCCGGAATTATGTATGGCTGAATTTACTATATTCATTAGTGTATGTTTAAAGTGAAAAAATATTTTCCAATTTTTGATACTGGCCTCTTTACCTTTCGCAAAGTAGGACATACAATTTTCGTCGTCTAGAACAACAATTTTTATTTTGTGAGTAATATTATAGATCTTTGCTATTTCTAACACACAGCAGCACACATGTTCGAATGAATTTTCCACCTGGCAAGGTGCAATGAACAGTACATCGTGCATTACTTTGTTCTTAATACGTGAATACGAATTAATAACAAACCAAAGTAACTGTTAATCATAGTTTGTATTTACATTTATTGTCAAATGAATAAACCGTGCGGAGGCAAGTGTTTTTCTCAGAAAATAGTTGCGTCGTAAATCGTCTATGTCCAACGATGTATAGCGTTCGTCAAACAGCTTCATGAATTTCAGAACCCTCTGGTTGTTTTGCATTGAAAATATATAAGCATCCTTGGGTATTGTTTGTGACAAGGAGCTCTGTTTATTGTCTCCTACCACAATTCCCTGCTCGCAATTATGACTCGATGAGTTAGAATTTGAACTTGAACTGTTCATTTCGACAATGCTCTTATCTTTATGGTGTGTTATTTGTTTGTTATCTGCGGTAGTTTTCTGTATGTGGTTATGACTCGATACGCTGGGATTCGAGTTTTTACTGTCCGCTTCGAGTTGGATAATCTCGTGTTTATTCTGGGGCAAGTGATTGCACAAAATTGAAGTATGTGTACAGTAATGTGTATAATCACAAAATTTACAAACGGCTTTACTAAAGGTCTTGTCACAATCGGTGTGGTCGAAATATGGCCAAAGCCTTGGTTTTTTAGTTTTTGATGCAGACATGTTATTTACTGAAGTAGCACTCTTAATTTATTGTCTTTCTTTTGAATATTAGTAAAATATCAATTGCTTGAACTCTGGTGTAAAGTGTAATCGTTTTGCAATCTGTAAAAAAAGTTTTATTTTGAAAAATAAATATGAATAAATATGAATTCTCAGATAGCAATAAATTAAATACATTGTATCTTACTATAATCAAATTAATCGAATAAATACTACTCACAATTAGTTGAGCTATTATTTAACGTTCAGCGTAGACTTTCAGAAAATATAAATGTAACGCAACAATTTGAAGTGTGATAAGCGAAGAAAATCGCCTGAAAAGATTTTACAATTTTACAACACATTTTAAATACAATAAAGTATTGTATTATTTATTACTTATTATAAATGCTGCGGATCACTATGCAATTTCATATGATTACAAACGCCTAAAAAAAAAAAAAGATTCTAAAATGGAATTTATTTCTACTATTGAACATTATAACAAATACCCTTTCGATATTTTATATATTTTTGCATATTACTTGTACTGAATTTTTGCATCTTCAAATTTTTCATAAATGCACAAAGCTGCAGTTTAATTAATAAATAACCCGACATTAGTCCATGCACTTCAATCACAAAACCTTTTGTAATGTAGTTTATCAAATTAATCAAGCTAATTGTGATCAACCGTAATGGTACGTATAGCTATAGATAACAAAATGAAAACATATCTATAATATATCTAATGAAACATATTTATTATATACATGAAAAACATATTTATTATATATATGATAAAACATATCTATAATGTATATAATGTAAATAACATATCATAATATACAGAGGGGGAAATCGAATAATCGTACCATCTTTGTACCATCTTTGTACCATCTTTGTAAGTCATTCTGAATAAAGAAGATCATATCAGTTTTGATTCATTTGTTTTTTATTAAAAAATAAACAGATTTTATATTCATATAATTAGAATAGAATAATTCTTTATTTTTCATACATTTTATATTTTATATATATTTTTCATACATTTTATATTT